TTTTGTTTTGGAATTAAATGAGTTTTAAATTTTGTATATGGGAGTTACTGGTTAGTGCTCCAAAATATACAGACCCTGGTTTACAAATTAATCAGCCAAAAACAGAAAAATTAAATAAAAGTAGAAAAAACACACACTCATGCCTATTATTAATATATGAATCCAAAGAGTATAGTGTAGAGGTGTAATTTGGCCCGTCCTGCCCATGTTGGGCCTCGTAGGCTCCTGCCAAAACTCTGGCCGACCTGGCCTACGGGCCAGAAAATTGGGCCGAGGCCCAGGCTAGAGGGTATTCGGGCCTTGGGTTGGCCAACAGGTCGGGCCTCGGACGGGACCGGTAGGCTTGGGCTTGGGTTTGAGTAGGGCTTGAACATTTTTTTATATTTTTTTCACTAAATTTTTATTTTTTCATTAAAAATAACACTAGGGCTCAGGTGGGCCAAGCTTTAAGTAGGTCTTGAGTGGGGCCAATGGACCGAGCCACGGGGTAGCCCAGGTAGGCCAGGCTTCAAAATAATGGTCTAGGCCTAGGGTCCAGGGCTATGCTCGGGTCCGAGCCTAATTAGGTCAGACCCACCCAGGGCCGCGGGCGGGTTTTAGGCCGTTCACGAGCCGTGGGTCATTTTTACACTTCTAGTGTAGTGCAAGACGCAACAAGCTTTGTGTCCTTATGAAGTATAGATATGGATACAACATACATCCGGATAGAATGATATGATAAAATGTAAAATAAAATAAAAAAGTAAATTATATTGATAGTTCTTATATTTTATCTCTTATATTATTTTGATTCTTACACTTTCAATTAACTCAATTTTGATTCTTAATCTTATATTTTGTATCAATTTGGTCCAATTGATAATGTCATTAGTATTTTTAACCAAAAAATGATCATTGAATTGGTTAAGATTAACTTATTAAGTAAAGCAAATTTATAATTTTGCCTATAAAATATGACATATGTCATTTATATGCATAATGTTTGTTAAAAGAATACTAATAATTGTAAGCAATTAGACTGAATTGATACAAAATTATAAATTTAGGGTCAAAATCAAAGCCAATTGAAATTACAATGACCAAAATGATACAAAAACTAAAATACAAAGACTATCAATATAATTTACCCATAAAAATAGAATTCTTGTACAGTGAGGGATGTTAAAAAAAATTATAGCTTTTAATATTTATGTTACAGCACTGGTTGGTGGCCCGAAAATATGTGGTTCGAATGGCTCAAAACACCAAAAACGACGTCGTTTTGGGTGTAAAACGACGTCGTTTTGGGTGTAAAACGACGTTGTTTTGCCATTTTCGAGCAATTCAAGCCACATATTTTCAGGCAACCAAACATTTTTCTTTATGTTATACATGAACTCAAATAATAATGAAGTATTATTATTTAAGAATTAAATATTAGTTTAATATAATTTAATAAAATTAGTAGAGAAATAATAGAGTAATATTTTAATCTCATTATTTATTTTTTTTTAACAAGCAATAAAAAAAATTAAAAATTTGTCTATTACTTATTCTAACAATTATATTTTAATATACAAAAATTATATAATAATTTGAAAAGAAAATTGATGATAAATTCAATCTGAATAGTGTCTAAGGTGTTAGGTCCTATAGATAAAATTTGTTGGTCAGAAGTACATACTTTGTGAAATATTATGGTAAGAAGTATATTTTGTTGTTTTGAAAGACATTTTTCAAGTTTTGAAATTTTTTTAACATATATGCTCAAATCTTTTCTTAATTCAATTTTGATTCCTACACTTTCAATGAACTCAATTTTGACTCTTATTAATCTTAGATTTTGTATCAATTTTGTCTAATTGATAATGTTATTAGTATTTTTGACAAAAAATTATCACTGAATTTGTTAAGATTAACTTACTAAGTAAAGCAAATTTATAATTTTGCCGATAAAGTATGACATATGCTATTTATATGCATAAATTTTGTTAAAAAATACTAATAATTGTAAACAATTAGATTGAATTGATACAAAATTATAAATTTAGAGTCAAAATCAAACCAATTGAAATTACAAGGATCAAAATGATACAAAGACAAAAATATAAAGACTATCAATATAATTTACCCATAAAAATAGAATACTTGTACAGTGAGGAATGTTAAAAAAAAAATTATAGCTTTTAATATTTATGTTATACATGAACTCAAATAATAATTAAGTACTATCATTTAAGATTAAATATTAGTTTAATATAATTTAATAAAATTAGAAGAGAAATAATAGAGTAATATTTTAATCTCATTATGTTTTTTGTTTTTTTGTTTTTTTTTGACAAGCAATAAAAAAATTAAAAAATTTGTCTATTATTTATTCTAACAATTATATTTTAATATACAAAAATTATATAATAGTTTATAGAGAAAATTGATGATATATGCAATCTGAATGGTGTCTGAGGCATTAGGTCCTATAGATAAAATTTGTTGGTCAGAAGTATAGTTTTGCTATTTTTTTAACATATATGTTCGAATCTTTTCTTATATATTTACTTTTTTTAAACCTATCTATCAAAATTATTAACCTACCTGTTGAAATGTTTTAATTTTTTTCTTATTTGTTCAAATTAACACCCATTGTTAATTTTTATTTTAATATATATAATCTATCTATTGAAATATGTCTTAATTTTTTTTATCTGTCCAAATTATATTAATATTTTAATCTATTTGTTGAGTTTGCAAGCCTGTTTACTCTATCTGTTGAAATCTTTTTTATCTATTCAATTATTTGAACCCATCTCAACCTATCTGTTCAATTTTTTAAACAAATCTGAGCCTTTTTTCTATCCAAATTTTATATGTACAAATTTTTAGTTGGCAACAACACACTTCACAAACAAATTCACAATCAATTTCCTATTTGTTGAAACCACTACGAAAAGCAACTCATCTACATTGCAAATCTGGAAACATACTACAAAAAACAAACAGATCTGTAAAGAGCTCAACTCATATGTATAGATCTGTATTCGTCTCATCTTCTCAACCTCAAAAAAATAAAATATAAAAAATAAAACTAAAACCCCACGCATAGATTCTACAATCACTTTAAGGAGTTATTTGAAATGAATATATAAATGATATGTAAATACGGGGTTTCCGTACCATTTCTTGCGCATTACGGTTCGAACACTCGACCACCTGTACGGATTCTCCTGCACAGTGGCAAAACAACCTCTAAAAAATATACAATCACTTTAAAGCCCCACCACCATAGATTTTACCTTGAAGAAACTGGGTTCAAAGCTCTAGCAATGCCATTCATGGTACCATAATTCTTTGAACTGAAACCAAGCACCCAAGTAATCCTTGCCTGTACAGACGACGACGGCGACGGTGACGAACACGACGGCGACGAACTCAATGACGAAGCATACATCGATGGCCTAGTTTCGCTCAACGAAGCCTCGTTCTGCTTGCTCTCGAGTGCTTCGATACCTAGACTACTCTGTATTTTCTCAAATTTCTTATCATCGTCCTCACTTTCATGCCATTGAAATGAAGAGGATCTCAACGGCGACATAGATCTGGTGCACATGTGTGTAAAGTGGTCCAGAGTTTTTTCCAAAGTGGTTTTCTCCTTAAAGAAATCAATCAAACAAATCTAGTTTTAATTCCAAAGGTTAGTAATCCGGGGAAATTATCCCAATTCCGTCCTATTAGCCTGGGAAACTTTATCCTAAAGATTATTACCAAAAAATTTTCAACTACCATGTCCATCTGTTAGAAAAATGATTTTCCCAAACAAAGGTTTATACAAAAATAAAATAGCACACAGTTAAGTTAGAATGACATGTTAACGATATTGTTGAAATTACGAGGATGATGGTTGGTATTTTTGTTGAAAATGATGAAACCGCATGAAGTCACAAATATGAAAATTTTGTACTATACTAAAAGAAGTTGCTGGTGCTGGTGCTGGTGCTGCTGCAGTTCAGGCACAGAAAAATGGAAATGGTTTGGCAAAACATAAAAGAATTCTGACCGTTTAGAACTCAAAACTTTAACACCATGATTGGATGGTTGATTTAGTTAAAAATGATGAAAAAGGGTAAGAAATAGAACTTTCTTACTAAACCTATTTTACTTGGTAAGATTTAATGAGATATAAATTAATTAGTTATCAAATATTTACAATACTAATATTAACTTTTAAAATATAAAGAATAAAAAAAATAAAAAAATTTACTCATATTATTTTTCACATGATTTGCTTTCTTACTCATCCAAGTATGATAATTTTTCTTTGCCAATCCAAACAAACACTGCATACAACAAAAGGAAGGACATTTAACAAAATAATTAAAGAAAAGCAAAATAAAAACATATGTACGCCGTTGCCGGGGATCGAACCCGGGTCACCCGCGTGACAGGCGGGAATACTTACCACTATACTACAACGACTTATTGTTTCCATCTCGTAAATATAATCACTTATTGTTATTCTTAATTTGTGACATTAAATTTATGATTGTATTAGTGGTGATGTTTCTAGTGGTGGAGGTTGTGAAATGTCTTAATAGTGTGGCTGTATGTTAGTACTTTAATCTTTAAAAAAAAAAAAAAATTTATATTTTTGTGTCTAAATAAACTTTCCGTGTAAAAAGGCTAAAAAATATTTTTCCAAATACTAGAATTCCAAATAAAAGGAACTTACATTAAAAAGTTTTATCATTTATTTGGTCAACTTCCTCTCAAGGGATAGTATCATCGGTTTCTGGGTTTTGGAAATTTATTTATTTATTTTTTTGTGTATTTTAAAAAATTGAAAAGAATAAAAAAATGAGAAGAATTCATAATTTTCATATTATTTTCATTGTGGTGTAAAACAATTTTTTTTTGAAATTTGAAAAAGTAATTTACCAAATAAACTTTATGTCTCAGCATTTTCAAGAACAGAAAACAAAATCAAACAGAAAGCCTTTTCATCTATGTTTGGGTTAGTTAGGATTGGATTGGATTGGATTAGATTCATTAGATATCTAAAAACCACAAAAGATGAGTAAAATAAAACAGAATCCGAAAATCGTGGATCGAACTCTTTATATGTGTAAATATATCTCTGGGAAAACAATTTGGTGTCTCATTAAAGTCTCAATGCAATCTAGAAGAAAATTGGCTTTGCTGTGAATCGCTCGGAACAAACACGGGAAGCTGGCCGCCCCTCTGTGATCGACCCTGCTGCTGGTAATAACTTGACGTGGGACCTCTCTCCGGAGCAGTAGGCATTGAACTGCTGCTATTTCTTGGCCCTCTGTTCAATTGTTCATTCACAAGAGGCCCACCAAAGAATATAGATTGGCCCGCGTTTGAAAGCTCTGTTCCCGAAGCATGAGAAGAACCGACACTTCTGGTGGCTGCAGAGACGAACCGCCCAGCGTCCTGATCCCAAAAAACCGAAGACCTTGAGTTCTCTGCAGAGCATGAGTTGTTTTTCCTCACCGGTATCCATGATAAATTATCATATCCACCACTTGGTTTTGCTGAATGAGGAGATTGATTAGCTGATGACTGATATATGGGGTTGAGGTCATCTCTATTCGAAGTCCGCTGATCCAAGGGAGACGGTGTGCGAGTGTTGGTCAGGTAAGGACTACTTAGGTTACTACGGTCGTGACCGCAACTCTCAAGATCTTCGTGGCTAGCACGAGATATTCTTGGTGTCCCTGCTCTAGCATTTCCGTCATTAAATCCTTGATTGGTACTGATAGGACTGCTTTTGCTGCTGACATAGCTGCTTGATAAGTGATCGCCATCGTAAGGATGGTGTCGAGAACTTACTGGACGTAGCACGGATGATGAAGCTCTGGCCTTTGCACCTGCTTTAATTGCTTCGTTGGAATCCAATTTTGCGAGCTTCCATGCACTAATTTTGACTGGACGCTGGGGTACTTTCCCCTTGTCGGATGGCTGTGCTGCATCTGGATCCACCGTAGATCGTAGATGTCCTGGCTCCAAATGATGGATAATTTCATCCTGCTTATGAGATACCAAAGATGAATGAACATTAAGCCCAAACTCTTGAAGAAATGAAACAGAAGATGCATGCTGCAAGAATGATGAAGCATCCAAGTCCAGTAACTTTTGAAGTAATTATAGACTTGTAGTCATAAAAAAGACTGGATTGTGAGACAAAAAATATGATCCAATTACAATTATCAACAACTCTAATAAAATATGACAATTTCTAAGAAAATATCTCTTCTGTGACATAATATTTTACATAAAACGGTAGTTGTTGCAACTGCAAATTCAAATACACAAATTTTTTTTTGCATCAACATTTCATTGGTGCTTTGAATGGACATCTGAACTTTCTTCATGCTATTAAGTTGTCCAAAACCTTTTTCTCCTAATTCTATGGTTGTAAGTCAATTTGTACATGTGAATTACAACCACCACTAGTTGTGTATGTTGTGTAGGAACTGACAAAACAAGGACACTACAAATGCGTACATTTTTGTGCATGAATGAATAGGTATATATGTTTATGCACACGTACACAACTGTGATTATTCCTCCTCCCAGCCACTGTTTGTCAAGGTAAACCTTTATCTTTCATCAATTTTACAAAAATGCTTATACTTGTCAATAAGTTCAGTAAATGAGTTTTTTCTACATAAAAAGAACAGCTGTATGCCGTGTCTTGACTTCCAAAATTAAAGTCTTCACATATTGGTGGGTAGGAAAGACACGCAAGTCAAGTGTCCAAAATTGAGCTCTACAATTACGTTATAGACATCTCCACATTTGTCAACCATGTTCTAGAGGTGGATGACAAGTGATAAAGTCTGACATCTGCACCATTTGCAATGCTCTCCCTTATGTATTATTTGATTCACTGGAATAGAATGGAATAGTGATTCCTTAGCCTCTCTATTGAATGACTATAGCCTTAGAATGGTGAATAATGATTCTAATTGTAATACATTTTTTCAGTGAACCAAACATGAGAATAGACATTATGATGGAATGGAAATGCCTATGCTTCTTAGACAACATAAAAGACTTCAGAATGGGCAACAGTACCTGGTGGTCCATAAAGATTCTTGGAGGCGTACACCAAGCACCTTTATATTGCAGGCCCAACCCGACAGAGCTTCTTCCACTAATTGCAGTCACAGCCGAACTTGTTGGTGAAGAAGGCAAACTAAGCTGATCTCCTCCATCTACAGATGGTCCAGGAGGTTCGCTCTGTGCCCTCATGGCAACAACATACTCGTATGTCGTGATACCCTGCAGTAAAAAATTATAAATTTGCTCCCACACAAACAAATGAGCAAATTGAGAACAAATGAACAAACCTTCCGTATCAGAATCATGTGGAAAAAAAACAGTTCTCCGAGAGGCACCATAGCAAGAAAAGAAACAGCTGTACATAGGGCCTGAAACAAAAGAACCACAAAGAATGAAGTTGATTTCGTGAAAGGAATCCCTGTGGCACAAAATAGAGCCATAATATATAGGATCCTTCACTCAGAATAATCGATGTGAAGAAAAATATACAACAAATAAATTCCCAAGATCTCAATGATTATACAAATTTGAAGTAGCAAAACATATATTAAAAACAGTTGCTTATAAATTTACGTGCAGCTAAAAGTCACTCGTCAACTACTTTTTACAGCAGATAACAGTATATATAGCATGTGGATAGAGCCATGAGCAGTTTTATGAGTTCAAAATAAGACAAAACACCCATTTACATTCTTTTAAAGTTAAATTCGCTAAGGATATTGCGACAACAATCAATTTCATTGACATTTCTTCAAAAACTTTTGGCCACTCTTCTTAGCATCAATGAATACAAAAAGTCTGATTTTATTTAGTTGAGCAACCAAAAAGCTACTGATAAATGGTTGCATCTGATCAGGTATCAGATGATTACAGAGAAACACCCCGGAAATCCCATACCTATGGTGCTTCAGCACACTAATGGTCAATCATTATGACTTTATAACAATTTACCAACGCAGTAAGGGGATCCACTCTCCTAAGTCTAATAACAGGAAACAAAATAATTACTGAATGTACAGATGCAGAGAGAAGAGAGATATCTGCAAGCAAAAAAGGAGGAAGGTATACCACAACGGAAGCGAAGGGGGGGAGGGAGAATCCATCTCCAAGCCTCACAGTTATCTGATTTTCAGTAGCCTTTCGATCAACAAAGCATCGGACAAAGACGGCAATGCCAACCCCACATTCAAAAACAAGCTGATGCACATATGTACACACAGACACATCCATAAAAGAACAAGTTTAGTCATGACTAAATGAAAAGGAATACAGAAAATGAAGGCTAATCAGAAGGAAATGAACAAAAATTAATTCAAGCAAGCATCTCAAACTTACCCAGACAAGGCTCATGCCCATAAGGCAAACAAATGTGATATAATTTTTCCTCCCCACACAATTATTTAACCACTGCACCACAGATTACCATGGTCAAACAGATATCATAACTTCCCCAAAAATTAGGAAAAGAAAAAACCAATAAGAAAAGCAACCTGATTGACTTTGCTGAAATAAACTACCATTATAAACAGAACATCAGGACATACTGTATAGGGAAAATAATGGTAGTTACTTATTACATCAGGACATACTGTACAGGGGAAAAAATGTCCTATTACATTCACATGACAACCGTCAGGACCTGCACATTCCTTCAAGGACCAATCACAGTTCCTTTCTAAACATGATTGACCATATAATTATAAACATTAAGACAAGAAGGGTCTTCACCTCATGAAAATTACAATTATTAAAATATTAAACTTACACGACAATGATGATCAAATCCATCAACACATTTATCGCAGCTTCTGCAATGTTTGCTGAATTTGCGTACCTGCAAAAGAGCAAAAACAATCAAGATAAGGCCAACGAATTTCAGTTTCTAGTGAAGCTTATATGAGATATGACGCAGGCAAACTGTCCCAAAGCTTGAATAACATATCTACATTTTTTTCTTTATTATTTCCTTTGCTGCCTGAGGACGAGAATTCTACTACATAATTAAACAGAAATAACATAATAACTGGTTTAATCTGTTCTGAAATAGGTTTGATGTTTCGTCTCTCTCTCTCTCTCTTCCTTCTGTTGGGGTGCAGGGAATCTAATGGTAGATCAGAAAGATATTTCATCAATGATGACAAGTGAAAACTTTAATCGACATTGCTAAGGCATGAGGATAGGCCTTCCACCATCCTAAATTGGGAGCCACAAAACTTCCAACTGCACACAAGCATTAATCATACAGAATTGTTGAAACTCCCAAGAGAGAGAGAGCTACATTTTAAGATAACTTCCAAATGTGAAGAGGATAGAACAAGAAACTAACTCAATATCACTCCAAGACATGGATCGAAAAATCGGTAATGGATTTTGGTCCTCCAGATTCAGATTCTCTGCTTTTTATCACCATGAAAAAGTCACCCTTTAAAAGGAGACAGTGCATATTGGGGTATTGTTCTGTATTGGGGAGAATCAATCAATACTCCCAAATAAATCACCCTTTACACACTGCCATGAGCCAATACTCTCAATAAATACCATTTACACACTAATGAATTGCCCTAACCTGTGGGTGTGAGATTGTGATTGAGATGAAACGGGGTGCCAGTCTAATGAAAAGGGTTGCCAGTCTAATTATCCTAGATAGTGAAAACCCCTTGCTATATGAAATTCTTCAATAATTATTATTTTTTTAAACCTTTGAAAACAACATAAAATTCAATAATATTTTACAACACATGTTTCAGGTGCCACAACGAGAATTAAAAATCATTACAAAGTACAAACATTCGCATTTTGATAAATGAGTTCAGAACATGCTTATTAATGAGTTTTTTGACATTTTCCAGTGCTTGAAAAAAACTCAAGAGTGTGGTTTCTGATTCCCCTTAGACATTGGCTGATAGCCCTAATAGTCGTTATACGAGTTGATACTGCAATTTAAAACCACGCTTCAAGATGTCTCAAAGCCATTGGCCGATACTCCTAATAGTCATCACCCAATTGAGTTCCTCAGAAATCTAATCGAACATCCCTTTACTTAATTCTTTGCACAAGAGAATAAAATTTGACAGTTGATAAGATCTCAAACAACATTGCATATCAACAAATTGCACGACATGGAAACCAATCACCTTACATGAATTAAAATCCTTTACCTCAGCATGGCACAATGTGCAGAATAAACCCTCTTCTGCAGATTGTTGTTGCAGAAGATGTTCATCTTTGCGGCAATCTTCCTGAACAAGAAAACCGCAAAAGATTCCCCCAACTTTTGAACAACAACTTGAACCATTCTTATAAGGTTTTCCTCCATCATTCTGTCCTACCTTGACAGATTCCTCAACAGAACATGCATTCCCTGCTCACATACCAACAATTATATATGAAAAATGTGGAGAACAGAATAGCAAGGTAGTTTTAATAATAAAAGAAAAACATATAAATTTACAGAAATAGTATCATATTGCGTTTTTTATTATTTTTTAATTATATATAACTTATAATAAATATATAAAATTATATATTTCATGTGTGTCCTGTCCTCCATGTGTCGTGTCCTACATTTTTTTAAAATTGGCATGTTAGTGCAGTGTTGTGTCACGTGTCACGTGTCCGTGTCAACGCTTCTTAGACCACTGAGCTCTTTTGTTTTGGGATGGTTCAATAGGAACATGAAGAGGTGTTACAATCATCCAACTATGTCAGTAAGTGATTGAATCCCCTTGGAGGCATCATCAGATGGTGAATTTACACCCCTCTGAATATTACATGAGTATCTGTATTTTTATTAGAACATGAGAGTATCTGTTTATCGAACAGAATTATATATACAGGCATAGCACTAACCAGGTAAATCTGTGTCATTGTGTGATCTATAGGCTGATGTCTTGTCAGCTTCAATCAGAATTCCAGGATCAGCAGGATCAATACCCGTGCATCTAACATAGAGTACAAATACACCAATTGCCTGAAAATAAAAATGCAGACAATGAGATAGCAATAAATAAAATGTGCAACAAGTTATCACAAAAAGAAATAAAATGTTAGGCCCATATTGTGCTTACCAAGAACGAATAGACACCAATGGCCACGTATTCATAAATATCCTTTCCAAGAAAGGGAGCAAAAAATGCATAAAATGCAACAGATAGCAAGAGAAACACTGTTATGGCCACAACCTGTGCATCAAGGAAAGTGAGAATAGGAAAGAGGTTTCAAATCAAAAAGAATTTATGAAATCATCATAAGATAAAAATATTTTTTTTTAAAAAAAAATGACACCATGAGTTCATAAAACATACATTGACCAACAAACCGATTATAAGTCGGGCTGATCTCATATTACTAATACTTTGAATAACCCAATCAAAACCACTAACCGAGGAATGGATAACGCTTGTAATATACAAAAAATTATAATGACAAACTTGGAAAATCAAATGAAAAAGATCAAAGATTGTGCATTGCAGCGTTCCCGTTTTACCTCAATAGAATTTCCATGGAAACTTCTACAAATATTTATGCTAGTTGAAAAGCTAGACTTGCAGAAAGAAATTTAGGTTTACAGATTATTCATTCAGATCAAGTAACTCGACCAGAAATTCAAGGCCTCACTAGTCAAAATTTATATATCAGGTTGTGATGTCCTTCAAACAAAAATTTATCCTAAATCCACAAGGTATGATTTTCATACATACTCACAATTTGCACCAGTAGGGAATGTGAAGCTTCTGATAAGCATTTTCTCTCTCTAATAACATGTTTCATAGAAAACAATAATTTCTTTTACAACAAAGCATGTCCTCGATGGGATTCTACATTAAAATAAATGCATAAAGCATTAAGATGCTATGCATAACAGATGGATCCAAAAAGACTCTAGACAATCTTGTAACAAGGAAAAATAAATAAATTAATAGATAAACAAAAATTGATCAAACACCCAATGATGAAGAAACTAATTGAGAAAGAATGGTAATGAAGAACACAAAGAATCAAAAACTCCATAAGTTATATACCCAAAGTTACATAACATGTGAATTTCAAAACATGCTTATTAAGCAGCGAAAAAAATCACATTTGGAATTTCCAATTGATCAGAAAGTGAAGAAGGCCTCGAATGAGGTACCTGCAATGTGTGAGCGGGAAGTTCCCACCCATGACGCCTAACCATGATTGAAAATCGAGTCTGAACTTGAAAATGAAGAACATCTACAGTCAAAGAACAGCCCAAAGAACTTGTCTCAATCAAAAACCCAAAAGAAAATTTTGAATCTGAATCAGAATCACAGGCTACAGGTTCAGAAGAAGTCGAATTTCTTGTTTTCTCTACTCCAATCACTGAAGACCAAAGCTCCTGATGGGTTTCGTGAAAGTTTGATCTCGACCCAGATGTTGAAAACCCAGTTGAAGAGAACCCATTAAGTGCATTTTCAGTTCTAGGGTTTGTGGAGATCGATTCATGGATCAAAATGAGCCGTGGAAGAAGAAGAAGAAGAAGAAGAAGAAGGGTCCTCTGTTAGACTAGTTTGCTGATTATTTTCACTTCGGCTTTTTATCCAATATTTTTCTGTTATGTAAAACAGTAATAAGTCTAATGACAATGACTCTTTACATTTATTACGAAGACTAATGTTTATGTATTAATTAATATATTAATTAGTGTGTTAATTGATGATGTGATATAATTTAAGAAATTTTAATATTTGTAATTTGTATAATGAGTGTGGTCAATAATAATGTCATAATTATAGTTAGTACACTAGTTAATACACTAATTGAAATATTTTTTTGTTATTGTTAATATCGAAGTGATCGAGAATAATTTTTAAAACACATTTTAATAAAAATATTAGGAACCACTCTTACTAATCTAGAGTTTATTTGAAATATATTGGTGTGATAGAAATTGAATTAATGAAATGTCAAATTCATATATAAAATGAATCTAAGTCATTAATTCATTTTCTAAATAAATTTTAAGTTTTTTTTTTTTTGTTTAACTGGATAAATTCTAAGTTAATAAGAGTGGATTTGAAGTGTTGTTCTCTAAAACGGTTTGGTATTATTTTTATTTTTTTGCTAGTTATAAATAATATATATATATATATTATTATTTGTTTTATATTAAAATTTATATTTTTTTATTTAGTCTTTTTTTTTCACATTATTTGTATTAGTTTTAATCATTTTAATTTTATTAAAAATGACATCAATATAATTATGTCAAAATTGCTAAAATGTTTGTATTTTTTTCAAATATTAGGAAATGGTAATTTATTCTATTTTTTATTTTCAGTTCTTAAAACTCTAACACTTGTTTGAAAAACTGTTTTTGAAAATAATTTTGAAAAAAATAATTAAAAATTGGGAAACACCTCCTGTTTATAAAACATTTATAATTTTTTTTTATTTTTAATTTTAATTTTGAAAACTTAGTTTTGCACAAATAAAAGAGGATCGGATTTTTCAAACTATTCATTATTTTTTTTAGCACAAAAAATTTAAAACAAAATATCAAAAATAAAATGATACCAAACAATAAACATTCAACTTCTAAATACTAATTGAAACTAAAAAATGACAACTATCTTTTTATGAAAAATTCATGCCACCATTTTTTCGAGCAAAAGGAATTCATGTTGTTAAGTTTTTGTAATTGACAATCTCGTTGGACAAAACTCCATTCAGTTGTATTTTTATTCACTCTATTGTATCTGTGAATTATGAGAATTTAAATGCGAATCCAACCCGAATTGTATCTCTGTAAAGGAGTTCGTGATGGCATTGCGTATATTGACTTGAACCTGCCTTATCTGCCACTTCGTTGACTAAGCTAAGAAGTCAAAGTTGATTAACTGCTCGAGCGATCTTTCATGCGCTCAAGCAATGAAGTGGTTCACCTAATATCTCTACTTGTGTTCTAAACTTCTAGGAAGCATGTTTTACTGCTTGAACGATAGATGTTGCGCTCGAGCGGTTCGTCTATATGTGAACACACCTTTAGTCACATTGCTCAAGCGATAAAGTGAGCGCTTGAGCGATTTTGTGGCTCTGTTTAGTATAAAGTGTACCGTTCACACGTTTTAGGGTTGAACCCGTTCAAATTCTCAGTGAGAGTAAAAAACAAAATGTTCTTTTTTGGAAGGTGTTTATATATGAGTTTTCTTGATATATAGAAAGTGATCAATTGATCAACGAACTACATATTGACAAAAATTAAGGGTTAGTTTTGTTCTTTCATTCACAAAGAGATAGAGGTGTTCATCGATAGATTTTGAAGAACTTGGGCCTGCAACTTTGATGGATTCCGGAGTGGGTCATCGTCGTGGATTTGACATCGGTGTTGTAGATTCAACGCTGGGTAAAACTATTCCGAAGTGAAGATGGTAGTGGAAAAGACACATTAGGTTTGGTTTGGTTTAATTTAGGTGTGAATTCACTAAGTAATTGAAGGTTTTCGTGTGTAATTATATTTTGTTTTTTTAGTAGATTATTTTGTGACTTTGACCTATGGTTTTTTTTATCACAATTGAAGGAGTCCAATTGTGGATTTTTTCATGTTAAATCGTTGTATCAATTTGTTGTTGATTGTTTGATTAGAATTATCATTCATTGTTTAAAATTGAATCATATTCACAAATTAATATCTCGCTGGTTTTTAGATTTTTCACATGCTACCCCTGCTATGTGACAACTATTTTGATTTTATTATCAATTTTGAGTGTGAAAATTTTAATATGGGATTTTTTGTCAAGAAAAATTTCTTTAAACTTATCATATTTTTTCTTGTTAATATTTTTCTTTTGATCAATGTTTTTTCTTGTTAATAAATTTAGTTTTTGTTAGATAATCAGAGTCATAGATAATAAGTCATACAAATTGTGACATTTGAAATAAAAATTATCACAAATTTTTTTTAATGTACGATGAGATAAAGCTAAAAAATAAGGATTCCATCCTTATATTTTATATCGGGATTATCAGGTTTACTCAAATACATAATTAAAAAAAAAATTTAAAAAAAAATCTTATAATATATATAAATTGTTCTCTTAAGATGGGGAAAAACAAAATGTATATGTATAAGAAAAACCATCACTTATATATTTCCTAACTTAGGGTTATGACTCGAATCATTTGCCAATGATGGAAAGAAGAATGAAATTTTATTTATTTTTCAAGGTAGATAAATTATAAATACAGTCAGAATTTCATTACATAAAATATTTAATTATAAAAAAAATTAATATACAACAAATCGATCAAATATAACAAATACTAAAGATAAATATAAGGAAGAAAAACTTAAAAATAAGTGAAAAATTTGAACCCCTTACTTTTGAATCGCTAAATTCTTGAAAATATATAATAATAATAATAAGCGTAAATTATATTAAACCCTCTCAAACTATCAACCATTTACATTTTACCCACTTAATATTTAAACCCAACAATAACTCTCTCAAATTATTTAAATTTGAACATTAAATCTTTCTATTATCTGTTAGATATTTGGATGGAAAATTGTCAAGTACTTTGCACATAATGATTATATTAAATTTTATGACCAAATTACCCTATTTTATCATTTGTAAAAATTTAATATAATGTGCACAGCATTTGATAATTTTTCATCCAAATATCTAACAGATGACTAACAAAATGACTTAATATTTAAATTCAAATAATTTGAGAGAGGTAATTGTTGGATTTAAAATATTAAGGGATAAAGTATAAATGGTTGATAGTTTGAGGGGTTTAATATAATTTGCCCTAATAATAATAACATATAATAAAAAAAAATAAAAAAACAGTTTGACTTGGAGGGATTGCCTAACTTAGGTGGCCTGCCCTTATTATTAAATTATTTATTGGTTTTTCTATTTTGTTTATAGTAATATTACCAACCCAAAATAAAATTTTCCATATATAAATCTTATACTACATAAAATCTTCCACCAAAAAAAAATTTAAGTGGCTAAGTCTGGAACTCCAGACTTGTTCTTTGTTTAACATCATGATGGACCTAGAGATATTTGTTCTAAAGTTTTTGTTGTTTTTATTGCAAATGCTTTCTTGATAAGCTTCATTTTCATAATCCAGAGGCAACATGGTAGTGATGATATGCGCTGTACCTCACTACGACTCATGGTTTGGAATTAATATATTGTTTGTTTTTCTAGTAAGTTGGGGATTAAATTATATCTATATTGCTTCTTATATTAATTTGGTTTTTTTATTTATTTAATTATATCAATTTTATCATTGAATTTTTAACATTGTGTCAATTGTTCGCTGGGTTAAGGGTTGGATGACTCTCTATTTACACCACAAAAAGTCTCATTACGCCCACTTATTATTAAGTTCCAAATCCTAAAAATTGAGAACACGTTTCTCAACCAACTCACCCCCTCTCTCCATTTGTCATCACATGGTGGTTGCAAAAGGTATGTATTAGCATCGTTTGGGAACAGACTAATTTAGTAATTTTTTGATTATTTGGCTAAAATATGAGTTAAAAAAAATTAGTATGTTTGGGATGATTTTTTAGTTTTTTACGAAAAGATGTACAAAAAATAGAGAGAAAAGAGAATCTTTGACTTTTTTGTATGAGTTGTTGGTTTTTTGGCTTGTTTAGTAACTTTTTGACTTTTTAGCTAAACCAGCTAGTCCCCAAACGAGACCTGAGTATTTACATCAGCAACTTGTTAACGAAAAAAAAAAAGATTTTTTTATTAGGGTTGTCAATGGATAAATTTTCCCTACTTTTTTATATCCATCCAACAAAAGTTATTAGTTGTTGTATATGTAAGACTCACCATAATCATTTTTTTTTTCTTTAAAAAATGAAAGTAGCTAGATATACTCTTGTTTAATAAAGTCCAAAGGAAATTAACAAAAATAAATAAATAAAGTCCAAGGCATATTTCACAAGCAACATATTAAGAATCACTTCAAAATGACACCTTCATAGAAATTTAGTTGCACCAACTGAAAATGGAAATTTCTTTATTCAAAAATTTGGTCACAACTAACAAGCCAATCCTCAGAAGTGGCTGGCCTGCCACCTGCCTTGTCATGAAGGAAGTACAACTACCAATCATATACAGAGAAAATGGACAATTAGTGTATAACATTTTATTAAGAATTCCAAACATAAACTAAAAAGAATAGTCAATGAACTTATTGTAACAACAACACATGAATCTATCTATGGTTTGGATTGTTATGATCAGATGTATTTACTTTTGTCTAAGGCTTAACAAATGAAAAATCAATACTATGAGATTCATGATCATTTCTTTGTGATTTAACATGAGGTCTTGTCGTTGAATCATGCCTACCATGAGCGAAAATCTCAGTTTCTGAGAGCTCAGTATCAAGATCAGATTGGTAAGATCTCGGAGAACTGGGAACACTTTCGAGTTCTGGTCCTGCACTTGAGGATACTTTGTGCTTGTGGAGCAAATATACGGGTGATGAGCCTCGGCTTGGTGTATTTTCACCACTCGTTAACCCAGAAACAGAATTATCTTGTGTTCCTCCTTCCTTTTTTCTTAGTTTCTTTCTATCCTTAGCAGCCTTTTGCCATTTCTTCAGAGCCTTTGCTGTCTGCTCCTCAAAAATTGCTTTCTTCATGTGAGATCCCATCTACATATACATACATCACAAACCATTAATGGGTATGTGTGAAATGTTTTAAACATTTGAGATGTAAGAACATTTGATAAGAAATTGTTTGAACCATCCATGTATCCATTCAAAATGTGAGATGTAATTAAGAAATTGTTTGAACATTTAATGAGAAGAATTTTGTGGATATGTCTCGAATCTAACTTGGATTATCACCTGATTAATGGGTAAATGGCGAGGTAAATGGTATGTGTATTTGGGTCTTTTTTGTCTCAATTTGGCACTATTGGGATCCTTGTATATATTGGGTTCTGTGGCTTTGTGTATGGTTTTGAGAGCTTCTGTCACATATAGTTGCATTGAGGTAGTCGATTCATTGTGTTCTCTATATTTATGAAATTCCTCTGTTGTTCTTCACCCTTGAACGTAGATTTACAATCGAATCATGTAAATACTTGCACACTTGTGTGCTTATTTTTCGTAAATTATTTCTTAATGTCTGATTCCATCATAACATAAAATTTAAATAAAAATTAAAAACTGTTATAGCTGCACACACGAACTTACTTGAGTCACCAAGGCATAAAGAGGGAAGGTAATGTAGCTGCACACGAACTGCAGGGCTACCCCGAGCAAAATTCTTGGCAAAAGTATGTACAAGCTTTCGTGGAAGCATGATTTAAACCCGAACTCATACTGCATTATAATTTCATTTAAGCCAGTTCATTTGACATCTCTCACTAATTGAAAAAATGATCAAACTGATAAAAAAAAACCTTGATTTTTGCAATTTATTTAAGAATCAATTACCCATGTCCATAAGAAATATGCCATCTGGAACGCATTCTGCAGAGAAGACAACAGTAGTCGTAGGAGTCAATACGCTTGACCAAGCTACTGAAAAATATTGTTATATATGTCAAAAATGTAGAATGTTGTTGAGTTTAGTTTTAGCATTTTGAAGGTACATTTCCACCTTTGAAATCAAACTTAAATTTCTGTCCCTTGATCCAACTATGTAATAATGAGAATTTCAGAGGGTACCTGCCATGCCTTTAGGTACACTAGCATCTGTTGTATCCTTTGGTGGGATTCACTCCAAACCCATTTCAATGACTTGAATTGTTCATTTTGTAGAGCATACTAGTTAGATCATTCATGTAAAAAATTAATTTTTTTTTTTTTTTTCAAGAATGCTATTAATATCCAATCAATCTGATTTTTTAACATGAATAATTTACTCAACAGGTATCCCTCATTGTGACTTTCTTAGTTGTTTGAGAAAGCCACACGTACCTCTCAAGATTGGAAAAATGGTCTTTACAATAATAATTTGTACCAAAGGCTTATAGTTAGGAATGTGGATATTGTATTAATAATCAATATTTCTTGAAATGAATGTAATTTTCACTTGAATTAAAGGGGAAAAAGAAATCAAATTAAGAAATAACTTCTCTGAGTGTTTCTTTGTGTGTGGTAGTAGTGCTAAAAAGTTAACCTGGAACAAGGTAAGATGGATCAAGATGAGGATCCACTGGGGTCTATTAAACCAGAAAAAACTGTTGCTTGGTTCCACAGTTGGAGCTCCTCTGACTACACTAGTCCGGTCATCAATCTGTTGAGCCATCTCCGTTATAACTAGTTCCAGTTTTGTGCCCACTAACAGAAGTATCTGAAGAATAGATACATAAACATAAATTAACAGAGACAATTAGCAGAAAAACAAACATGTTCTACAATGGAACAGAAAAGTTTGTGATGCATATATTTATGTCTTACACTGAGTGGCACCAAGGAGATCCAAGCAAGTGTGTACCATCCTGTACCATTTTTACAAAATAAATATATATCACGATTATAAAGCTATATATCATGGATTCAATCATGAAAATATGGTATGAAACAAGAATAAAAAAGGGGAAATTTTCTTACGGTAAACATTCAGAAGCAGTAAGATGAAAGCGAAAATCCAGAGTGGAATACTGCAAAAAATCAACAAAAATTTTTAGCAGATATTAAGGCATTGAATGATGTTGACAACGAAAGTGAAGTAGAAAGGGATTTGGGAAAGATACCTTATTCCCACAACCACCTTGAAGTCATCTTCCATAGATCTCTTGATGTATTTATGGAAATCGAATTTGCTATTTGGAGCAAAATGTTTCTACATATTTATATTTGACAAAACTTGGTTGTTAGGACACACATACTAGAAATAGATCATGCTTATAAATAGAGGGAGGCCATTATATATCTAAAATATTTTTTTTTGAAAAATCTTCACTTTACTTCCCATATACCATTATGCGGGAGAAAGTAGTTTTCCAATTTTGAGGACTCAATTGGAGAAACATAGAAGCAAAATACCAAAGATTGAAGCGCACTTACGTTGATAAAGCCATGGCGCATAGTCATATAATCCACCTTTGTTACCGAACCAAAGAATTGCCTGAAGAATGCCACCTGAACGTATGCGTGACAAAATTGTGCAATTCATAATCATTCCTTTCTCATGACATTTTAAAATCTTCATAAAAATTTTAAAAAAAAACATAGAAACAAAAAGCCATGAGTTTGAAAATCTACTCTAAAAATGATCCAAAATAAAGTTGATTAAGAATATGACTCACATTATACCAAATAAATTTAAATATAATCATGAAGTTGTATTTATGATTTAAACTTACAATCCATCTGATGCCTGGAGTTCTAGAGAAACCAGCATGACGTCTCACAAATGAAGTTTGATGAGTAAACCTGAATCTTGTTGGATCTGCATGCATAATAATCACAAAAACCATATTACATCTACAGTGAGTCCATTTGTTGGCCCCGCTGGAACATTTCGGTCAACGATAATGTTAGTACCGGGCTGAATCATTGGGTTAGCTCTATGTTAAACCATATGGCCCCGGTAAACTCAACCCAAACCTTCATACAATAATGATTAAATAATTTTTTGGTAAGATATGTATGTATATAGTTGAATGAAATGAGCAGGGAAATGAATCACCATTTGTGAACTGATATTCCAAAGAGGAGGTTTCTGACTCCCAATCCTTCCATTTCTTCACCTGGTTAACATCCCCCACAACACAACAAAACATACACAAATTCAAGCTTTATTGACATTTGCTCTTTTACATGAATCTTGTTGAATAAAAAATAAAACAGAAATTAAATTACTTAACACATATGTATATATATATTTAAAGTTAATCAAACAAAAATAATTTGAGAATTTTAAGAGGAATCATATTTAGTATGATGTGGGTCACATGACACTATTAACATCACTTCGACACTTCATGTGTTTAGTGTCATACAAAGCGCCATATCGTATGTTACTTATATATGATCACCTTAATATTAGAGAAAAATAATTCTTCTTTAAATTTCTATTTACTTTTTTTTTAAAAAAAAAAACATTTTTTCTAATCCAATCAACTAAGTTAAAAAAATAAATAAAAATAAAAACTAAGTTCAAGAAATTCCAAGAAAGTTTTAGTGTTCAAGATTATGAAAAAGTGTTGAACGTATGCGCTAACTAATCTGTTAACATCCTACTTAGGCAAAATAAATAAATCCAATCAACTAAAATAAAAAATAATAATATATTTTTTCCCTTCATTTTATTGTCTTATATTTTTCCTTCCTTACCAAAACAATATTTAGCCAGGCGATATTTACAAATGAGCTAAAAGCAAATATAGAAATTTCTTGTTTGAAAAATACTTACTTTAGCTTGCGCCAGAGCCATGATGATGACACTGTATAGGACGTGAAAAACAGCGAGGACGAATATAAATATATGCAATTGATGGACCCCTGAGTATGAAATTAGTGACACTTTGCCCTAAAAAAACATTACACAAATAAAACAAGCATGAATTAAACCCCAAATAATTTTCAAATATTTGTATTAATAATTACTATATGATAAAACTAATGTCACTTGTTTGGACCCACAAAAAAACACAATTCTAGGGCCAATTTTTAAAATCAAAAGTTATGATTTTAAATATTGACCAATATATATTGTATTGACTAATAGGAATATAAGATTTTTGTCATTTCAATACTAATATATTTTGAAATACTGGTTGAAATAAAAATCATATGTGATCTCAATACAACTCACTCACATCTGATACGTTCAATTCGTTTGCTATAAAACTTTTTTTGCAATTGGTAAGTTTAAAAAATTTATGATCGCTAAACTCAATTATTGAGACATATCATTCGATACTCCTAATACCATTACGTTGCCACTGATACCAATACATCTTCACCAATATTTAAAACTATATCTTACTTTTTTACCACAATAATCCTTTTTTGTGGTATCTCCAGCATTGTAGTGGTTCTTGATACATGGAAGCATTGTGTATCCTAACTTCATAGGAATGCATATCTTTGAGATATAGGTCATTCCCACAGTAAGTAGTAGCGATATGAACCCTAAAAGCATCAACTCTGCATTACCAAATAACAAAAAATAAATAAATAAAAATTGTGTGTAAAATTCTGTGAAATTTTTCTATGTATGTATGATGTGTAGTGTGGCTCAATGAAGAAAGAGCAAAGTTGAATGGCTAACCAGCTTTGATTTTCTCCAAGGCTTCAATCATGGCTTTGTTGTGGCGTTTGTGGAACCACTGCCATTACAAAAAGAAAGTCACAATATATTATTAATTTTTATACAAAAAATTCATATGGAATAATGTGTGTGTGCCTGCTCAATCCTTTCATGATCAAACCAAAACAATCATCAAGTGATTTATAATTGTAAATGTATGACAAGCACGTAAATGTTTCTTGTAGAAATTATGACATGCTCATTTTTTTTTTTCGACTACAAAATAGAGAAATGTTCAAAAACAGTTATTGGTTTAATTTTTATTCTCTGTGTAAAAATAATTTTTTGAAAGAATAGAGCTTCTCTCTAGTTTTTGAAAAGGATCGGAACATATAGTCCACCTCTTGTAGAGCTACATAGGTTGCATTTTAATGATCCATTCCATTCATTTTTTAGACTCCTCAGTGTAGATAATTCATAAATTAAATTAATCCAATAATAATAATCACCATATTTCATTAAATTTGACTACAAAAAATAAAATAAAAATGAACTGTATAATTTGAAAGTCGTTTTGGTCGTTCATTTTTTACAAACAAATATGATGAAATTATATGATTATTTATCAAAATGAATATGATTTTTTTCACAGATGATTTTTACACATTGCAACAAATGAAGATTTTAGAGACAAATATTTAGGCACAAAATGACTTTTTAAGAACGAAATATCTTAATTATTAAGTGTTATTGTTATATTTTTAGCAACAAAATTAGACATTTAGTGATTAATTACTATCTATTTTGGATCAAAATTTTCGTCTAAAACAATAAAATAAAATAAGCGCACAATTTTTTTTAATCTTAAAAGTGCATTTGTTAGCGACATTTTCAAAATTTTGTCGGTAAAGGTATTTTTTTTTAAAAAACTTTTTGGAATGAAATTTTAATGACAAATCTTTGACGACAAGAACTAGTCTCCTGATGATTTTTACAACAAAATTTTCACTTTTAAAAATAAAAAATTTGATCCCTAAAATTCTTATATTTTGTAGTGACATAAAAAAAATAAAAAATAAAAAACTCTCAAATTATCAATATGAGTCTATAGTGGCCCAGTAACCTGAATTGGATGGGTCTAGCTTTTCGAAAATTTGAAATAATTTTTATTTTTTCCTAAAATTGGATTGTTTTAAGAAAAAAATTTACAAAAAAAAAAAAAAAAAATCAAAAGCAATTTTGAGGAACAATTTGCCAAACAAGTTTTGTGTGTTTTCTAAAAAATTGAAAACAAAAAAACAAAAACACAGCCAAATAGACTTATTGTATCCATAAACATAGTTGAAAATTAATGGAAATGAATACACACTTTAAAGTTTTGAAATGCAGAGGAAGCAAAATACCTTGCCAAGAGAATGAAGGCCATGCTCAATAAGAATAGAGACGATCACAAACATGGCGCAGACTACCGCAACAGCCCATGTTGGAGTTTGCTCGAGAGATCTATCTCCCTCATAAGCCATAACTAACTAACGGTAATTAGTATTGCAATTGATTAGATATCATCAAACTGCACACTTGTGTACTATTAAGACCCAACCCAAGTAGCCCATGAAGAACAAACTTTATATATATTTGGAAAGACAAATGATGAAAAGAGAAAACTAGGAAAATGATGTACGTTGGATGGACCATCATAGAGTGGAATATAATCTTGTCAATATATGCTCATTTGTTTGTTTTTGTTTTGTTTTTTCTTACTATGCCGGACTGCTGTAATTAAGGTTGTTTTTGTTGTTCATATATTACTTAGGGGAAATTACAAATCAATGAGGCAGTAAAAGAATATTGGGATACTTTACATTTTTATAGTGATGCAAATGTTCTGTATAAATGGTGCAATTCCTTTATATGTGTCAGAATGACACCAGAATAAGTTTTGATCTAAGGTGTAATTATTTTTTTACGGTTTCGCTGATTTGCAATTTCCTCTATTACTTACTGATAGCATTGTCTCGAGATCATCAACTACCCTATCTTGGCAATGAGGTTGGTGATGCGTCTTATAGGCATAGTATTATGTTGTGAGTTCATGAAGGCAAGTTCTAAATTTATTTTAATGATCCGAAATGTTCATAGTGAAGGATTCGTTGAGCAGATTATTTATGAAAAAATTCAAGTTAATTAGACATCTGTAACTTACAACAAAACTACGTTAATAAATTTACCATCCGAAAAATTTTTCACAAACACACAATGGTCCAAAGTAGTTTTAGAAAAACCATTATTCATCATAAAAGAGTCAAATTTTTTGTACCATTGTCGCAGGGCTTGCTTGAGACCATACAAACTTTTCTTCAATTTGCAAACAAATTTCTCTTTTCCTTTTTCCACAAATCCTTCCGGTTGCTCCATGTAAATTTCTTCTTCAAGATCACCATGCAGAAATGCGGTCTTCACATCAAGTTGCTCAACTTCAAGGTTCATACTTGCAGCCATGCCAAGTACAACCCGAATAGAAGACATCTTTACAACCGGTGAGAAAATTTCATCAAAATCAATACCTTTCTTTTGCCCAAAGCCTTTCACAACAAGACGTGCCTTGTACCTCAGATTCTTGCCATCATTCTTCAATTTGAAGACCCACTTATTTTTCAGAATTTTCCTCCCTTTAGGCAACTTCACTAAATCATAAGTGTGATTTTTAAGTAAGAAATTCATCTCCTCTTCCATGGCCTTTTTCCAATCATCTTTCTTTGCACGCTCAATTGCTTCTTGGTAGCTCTCAGGCTCCCATTGATCGGAAATCAACACAAATTCATTGAGAGGATACTATCTTGAAGGTTGTTGGTCCCTTGTAGATTTTCTCAACTCAAGTTGTGATGACGGTACTTGAGTTGGATGCTCTTCCTCAATTTCTGGCTCAACTTCACTAGGATTAGCATCATCCTCCACATCTTCAATAGGTGGCTGCACATCTCCTCCATTTTCATCATCAACTGAAGATGAAGGAGATGGATCCATGTCAATGAGATCACTAGTTTTTGGCTCCGGTTGATCACCTTTGCCAAAGTCTTCAATTGTTTGGTCTTCAAGAAACACAACATCACGGCTTCGAATAACTTTCTTGTCGACCGGATCCCACAATCTATACCCAAATTCATCACGCCCATAGCCAAGAAAAATACATTGTCTTGACTTGCTATCAAGCTTGGACCTCTTATCTTTTGGAATGTGAACAAAAGCTCGGCAACCAAACACTCTCAAGTGCTCATAAGATACATCTTTACCGGTCCAAACTCTTTCTGGAACATCACCATTCAAAGGATAGGAAGGAGACAAATTGATCACGCCAACTGCTGTTTTCAATGCCTCACCCCAAAAGGATCTTGGCAATTTAGCTTGTGAAAGCAAACACCATGTTCTTTCCACAATGGTGCGGTTCATCCTCTCGGCAACACACTTTCTGTGACCAACATTCTTAATTGTCTTTTGGTGCCGAATACCTTGGCTGCGACAATACTCATCAAATGGCCCAATGTATTCACCACCATTGTCTGATCGGATGCACTTCAATTTCTGCCCTGTTTCTCTTTCAACCATGGCCTGAAAATGCTTAAATACTTCTAGAACTTGATCTTTAGTTTTTAGTAAAAAAGCTCAAACTTTCCTTGAATAATCATCAATGAAAGTAACAAAATAAAGTGCACCACCATGTGTTCTAACTTTTAAAGGACCACAAACATCCGAATGAATCAACTCCAACACATTTTCTTTTTTAGAACCAACATTTTTATGAAATGAAACTCTATGTTGTTTACCCGCCAAACAATGAACACAAGTTTTAAGATGTGTACCTTTCAAACCGGGGAGAAGCTTTTTCTTGAACAAAACTTGTAGCCCCTTTTCACTCATATGCCCAAGTCGCATGTGCCACAATTCAGTAGAAGTATCATCTTCAAGTGCATTGACAACACCTTTACAAATTTTTCCTTGCATCGAATAAAGTGTATGAGTCTTTTTGCACTTAGCCACCACCAAAGAACCCTTTGTGAGCTTCTATATTCCATCACCAAATTTGTTGTTGAAACCTTCATCATCTAGCTTCCCAGTAGAGATCAAATTAAGGCGAATGTCGGGAACATGCCTCACATCTTTAAGCAACAACTTGCAGCCCAAATTTGTTTTCAAGAAAACATCACCCATACCAATAATCTTGGACAAACCTTCATTACCCATTCGAACAAAACCATAATCTCCTTCGGTGTAGGTAGTGAAGAAATCAACTCGAGAAGTCACATGAAAAGAAGAACCGGAATCAATCACCCAATTACTCTCTTGGCCCACAAAATTGATACAATCATCTTCACAAACGACCATGAGATCACCATTGGTAGTAATTGCCGTTGTGTCTTCTTGGTTCTTGTCCACACTTTTGTCACGCCTTTTCTCCTTATTCTTGAGCTTTCGGCATTCTCGCTTCATGTGCCCTTTCTCATGGCAATAATGGCACTCAATGTTTTTCTTTGAAAAAGAACCATCTTTCGATTTGTCATAGCTTTGATCACGACCATGGGGAGTTTTACTCTTCCCTCTTGTTTTGCTTCGGCCTCTCACAACGAATGCTTCCGAATGAGAGGAACCTGTTGATTTTCTTCTAGTTTCTTCATTCAACATGCTACTAGTGACTTGGCCCATTGTAATAACTCCATCGGGCGCCGAATTACTGACGGTCACAACCAAAGTCTCCCAACTTTCGGGCAAAGAACTAAGTAGCATCACAGCCTGCAACTCATCATCAAAAATAATTTTCATAGAAGCAAGTTGGTTAACAATACTCTTTATTTCATTCAGATGTTCCGGAATAGGGTTGCTCTCTTTATATTTTAAATTAACCAACTTACGAAACAGAAAAGCTTTATTTGTGGCTGATTTCCTATCATAAAGTCCCTCTAATTTTTTCCATAAATCATGTGTTGAAGTTTCAGTAGCAACATGATAAAATACACTGTCATCAATCCATTGACGGATAACACCAACGGCTTTTCGATTAAGCCTATTCCATTCATCATCTTTCATACCCTTGGGTTTGCCACTATCACCCTCAATGGGTCCATACAAATCTTTACAAAATAATAGGTCCTCCATTTTAGTTTTCCAAGTTACCCAATTGCTTCCATTGAAGCTAGACATACGACCCACATTCCCCTCTATTGATTTACACAAATAATTAAACCCAAATATACCGTATACTCTGATACCAGTTGTAAGAGAAAATCGATGTGATTCCCCGCAAGTAAATCAATCAATGGGAATAAAAACTAATGCGGAAAAATTAAATCAAAGGCAACGCAAGAATTTTTACGTGGTTCCCTCAATGTGAGGTACGTCCACGGGATCGAAATCCGATTCCACTATCAACCAAATAAGTTCCAAACGATTACAAACGAGACACTAATGGTCTCACAAAACCACCCTTAGGTGAATTTCAAATAATCACAAATAAACAAAGAGGAAAGACCTCACCAAATAGATGAACCAAAATCTTCAGAACCAAAGTTGTAGAAGACCTAAAATAACGACCCAAATCAAACGCACAATGGCTGCCGAAACCAATCCACTGACTTGAATTCGAGCACTGTGACTCCGAACCAAAAAATCACCAAAGATGGATTAATTGGCACGAACCCCAAAAACGTTATAGCAGCCGCACTTTTCTCTTGGGGAAAAACAATACACCAACAAGAAAATTATATTGTGAATCTAGGGTTTTGTAATCAAACCCTAATTGTTTTCAGATTGAATTGGGCCTCTACAAATATAATATATAAAAATATATTATACCTAAACCAAGTCAAATTAAAATTCTTTAACAAACCAATTGGGTCCCACTCCAATAAGGAGGTATACCCAACAGTTTATGTTTAAAAAAATAAACGGTTAGTATGATTTTAATAATTTTTTAGGATTATTATTTGTCTTGATCATATGATTATATTTGTTCGGTTAATTTCATTTTCATAAGAATAATATACTTAACAAATCTTATAATATGAACGGTTCGAATATCCGAAATGGAGTCGAAATAAACCATTCAGGACCCACTCCCAATCCCCCTATCTTACGGCCGGCCTGCTGAGGCTACAAAACAACGATTGAGATCAACCCTCAATATGCCTGTTCAAAAAGCATACATACATCATAAAAATACATAAAAATAATAGTGTAAATTACATTTTTAATTCATATTATTTGACTCAAATTTTATTTTTGTTGTTCTTATTATTTCAAATTAAACAATTTGATTCTTCCACTTAAATTTTAGTTTCAATTTGGTTCTTCCATTCAACTCAGAGATTAAAATTAACAATTTCGAAATATTTGTCAGTGCCTCTTGAGGTTTACACATATAAAAAAGGATTTATTACACTTTTTATCCTGAAGTTATCACCAAATTATCTATTTAGTTCATGAACTATCGATTGAATCTATTTAATTCCTAAAGTATATAAATCAAAGTCTATTTAGTCTTAAACTATCAATTGAATTTATGAATAAGTTCCTAAAATATTTAATTAAAACATATTTAATT